TCTGTTTTTCTTCCTCCTGGCTGTTATCTGGGAGGTTCTGGTCTCAGAGCAGTTGCTGAGTTGTGCTGTCCTGCATGAAAGAAGACAGGGAGGTAAATCCCAGCTTCTCTTCCCAGAGTCCCAGCAAAGTGCTGCGGTTCTGGAGACATTCCCGGGCTCATTCTTTTCCAAACGAGGCATCCTGAGGTTCAGCCTATAGTATAAAATTACTCAAATTCCAGTTTCCCTTCCAGAAAATGGAGAGAGCGGGATATATGTCGCATTGCTGAGTAGGCACATGCCATTGTTCCCTCCAAATACGGAGTGCACGTGGGCGTCTAAGTACCAGCCAGTCATCTCGCGTGGTTTCCATGTCCACTCTGCACACCTGGAGGGAATGGCGCACAAAACGGGGTCCCCTGTTCCTAGGAAGAGTGGATGAGACCTGAACTGGCTGGCTCTCGGGAGGAAGAACCAAGCACGGTCATTGTGAATTCCTTTATGAGAGATTTCCCGGGGGGGTGGGGGGGGAGAAAGCAATGGGTAACTAGCTGCCATTCTGAAGTTCTTTTATGGATGCCAATGGGGCTCTTGCTTCATTCTTCTATGACAGTCATTTGCACAGCAGACACAAAATAACTATATTAAATTTTTTAGTAAGAAGAAAATGATACCTCTTCTTTAGCATCTTCCTACTCATTTTGCTAAGAACGTTTTCTCATATGATCCAGGATCTAGTTCTTCATGAGCCAACGTGAACGCAGGATGAACGTAAAGAGCAGTTCAAGATTGACATTTGAATCCTGTGTCCATACCATTGTCATGAAGGGCCTGAATCAGGGATGTACAAGGTCAAAGGGACTCATGCTTCACTTGGCATTATGCCCTCACTCTTTTTTAAAAAAATATATATTTTATTGATTTTTTACAGAGAGGAAGGGAGAGAGAGAGAGAGTTAGAAACATCGATGAGAGAGAAACATCGATCAGCTGCCTCCTGCACATCTCCTACTGGGGATGTGCCCACAACCCAGGTACATGCCCTTGACCGGAATCGATCCTGGGACCTTTCAGTCCGCAGGCCGACACTCTATCCACTGAGCCAACCCGGTTCCGGCTATACCCAGAACACAGTTTCCACAAGCATGGAGTCTGCAGTATGCACATTGAAACTGAGAATTCCACAGTATCCCAATTCCTTACCTCTTAACTCAGACAGATACATACACAGAGAGGTATAACATGATGTGATAAGTAGGAATGATAGTATTGGGATAAACAGGGACCCTCAGTGAGCACTGGGCCAGCAGCTCAGCCTGGGGATGTCAGGATTGCTTAATCCAGGAGGTGCATCTAAATGAGCTCCTGGATGGTGAATAGTGATTTACCCAGCAGAGAAGGAGAGGAGGGTGTGGCAGGATTTGAGGATGACCCCAGTGACCTTTGTTCTTTGTCTAATCTCCTCCCATTAAGTTTGGGTAGAACTTGTGACTAAAATGAGATATGACTCCCATGATTGTATTATTGGCAAAAGGGACTTTGCAGATATAATCAAGGTCCCTATCAGTTGCAGTAATCAAAAGATTATCTGGGTGGGCCTGATGGAATCACCTGAGCCTTTAAAGGGGATTGGGACTTTTCTGAAATCAGAGAGTTTAGAAGGGCCTGTGGAGGGGGCCGTGTGTCAGGGACCTGAGAGAAGCTTCTAGGAGCTGCTAGACAACAGCCAGAAGGACCAAAGGAACCTGGGTTCTCTGCTACAAGGAAGTTAATTCTACCAACAACCATAAACTAAAAACCTGTCAACTTGCTCACATGAAAATAAATGGGTGTACACAAAATTACACGGGGTTTAACAGTGGTTTGATTCCTTTTGTGCGTGAATATACGTTCTGTGTTCACAGCATAGCAGTTTGGCTGATTCATGACACTATTTTAAGGTAAAGTGGATAAAGAATACATAAAGTGGAACTCCATCATTCATCTTATCTAATCCCCTGCCTGTAGACAGAGAACGTTATTATCTCCATGAAGTAATAGAGGTGGAAGAGGCCAGCTCACCTGCCACCAGGCAATCAGCAGAGGGCAGAGCGCTCCATTCTTCAGCTCCCCGATTCTTCTGTTATTCCTTTGAGAACAGGCCAGGCGAATGGTCGCACTGGGCAAGGTAGGAGGCATGGGAGCTACAAGGACAGGGTCAGGAGAGAAAATCTCGGGATAGAATTCCCCAGGTACGTGGGCAACAAAGGATTTCATTCTGAGTCTTTGTCATATTGAATATCGAGTCTATTGTATACTTTTGTCCAATTGGAAAACATCTCACTTCTTAACGTGGAATAGCTAGCTAGCTTCGGTTCAATTCCCAATAGTTATACAAAACAGACTCCAATTCAAACTTAAAGAACTATGTTCAGTGTTGTTGTTGTTTTTTTTTTCATTAACCCAGAGTTGAGATTTAATTGAGCCTCCGGCCCTAGCAACACTTGTGTGCCTGCTGGCATAGTCCCTAGAAACCCAGATGTTGCACATTAATATCATGATAACCATTACTGTCATGGCTTCCTGTAGCATTTTTTGTTCTTATAGATGATCTTTAAAAACAAGTAAGAAAAAAGCTTCATTCTTTTAGGTCCTTACGTAGATGAAACATTTGCTTTTGCACTTGACTGTTGTCAGAAACACAGTGGTTGGAACAGAGCAGAGCGGCCCATCTTCTGGGCTCCTCCCAGGCCCCCTTTGAAGTCCCCGGGAACATGGTGCAGAGCAGGGACACGCCACACGGAGGGGACTGACCAGGATCACCCTCCTGAAACTAGGGTGAAAATACGTTCACTTCTGCAAATAATACCTCTTGGGTTTCCACTTATATTCAAACCTTTTGAGGATCCTGGGGAAATACCACAGGAGCAGTACTTCTGTTCCCTGTGAACCGAGGATTTGTTGCGCTGGAAAAAGAATCCATCCTGTAGGGGTGTCGACGGCAGCTGGCGGGGTACCAGGAAGGGGGAAGGATTACAGACTGGGCCCTGGCCCCAGTTGGATGCGATTTCAACGGCGTGTAGTATTATTTTTCCTTTATGTTGAGCTGCCTTTTGGTTTTCTTCTCTGTTGGGATGTGAGAGGGCTCACTCGGCCCAGGCCTGTGCCGTCCATGCGTCTGAGAAGGGCCCCATGGCTGTCCGCTCTAGACGTGCGTCATTTTCCCAAGGCCCCCAGGAGCCCATCGGCGTTGGTGGTTTTCCCAGGTGGTGCTGGGAAATGTGTGTTCGAAGTTCTAGAAACTTAGGAAGGCTTCTCTTTGGTGGCTCATGCTATTCCTGGGGATGACTACGGGATTTATAAAAGCAATCAACGCTTTGGACCAGATTCCAACATGAGGCAACACAACCAGCCACAATCCAGCCTAACCCTAACAGAATGTTACCTCATCATCCACTTGGGAATTTGCTGTTTACATGCGTCGGCTTCATCATGTTTGAACTACGTCACATCGGCCACACACAGGAAAAGCTCCCAGTCACTTCCGTGCAAACACAGTTTGCAGGAAGGGCACTGCTGCATGCCAGCTCTGCCGTGGAGCCCAAGCACCCTGATGGTGATTACCACATCGTTCCCCAGGGCTGACCTTAGCTCTGGGAGAGGTTCTGCCAAGATCCCACAGAGCTCCCGTCCCGCAGGCTTCTCCCTAAGATTCTGCAAAGTCATGCCTCTGTCACAGCTATAGAAAGAACCACGCCCGCTATCAGGGGATCTTTTTATCATAACCCGGCCTTACTCTAGCTGTGGCCCCGGGTTACTAGGATGGCTGGTAAGATACTTCCGACATCTCATAGGACCTGGGGGATTGGGTGAGGGATATCTGATACCGTTTTTGAGATGTTGCCAATTGTGTGCTGTGCTGCAACTCTCCATGGTCACCTTAAAATCTAGACATTAAATAGCCTTATAATGGTGGTGTTTTGAGAAACTAAAGATAGGAGGCCTGTAGGGAGGGAGGGAGGGAGGGAGGAGAGAGAGAGAGAGAGAGAGAGAGAGAGAGAGAGAGAGAGAGAGAGAGAGAGAGAGAGAAATAGCTGGAGATGATGAGACATAGAGAAGAGATGGAGAATTCAGTGGAAGCAAGAAATGAAAGGAAAGTGACCACGAGAAAGATAAACCCTCAAATACTTCTCAAGTGTACTGAGCAGGGTACCAGAATCCCCAGTAGGAAGCATGGGGCTGCAAGCTCATTTTCTTCAGTAACTGGAAAACCCTAGAATCTTAGAAGATGAAATCAGGCAGGCAACAGATGCATAGAGTTTGTCCTTTCTATTGTTCAAACCTTTCGCCTCTCAAGGCCCCAATTCAAATGTCATTTCCTCCAGAAACTCACCTCCACCCGTGGGTCAGCATGAAAGGGATTTCTCTGAGGATTTTCTGCAAAGTTCCATAGACAGGAGCCTTATTCCTTGGGGGGTCGGGGATGGGGTGGGCAGGGACCTTGTGGGCAGCCCTACACAATCAATAGGTCACCCAGTTTTGCATCATCCTAAAGTAAAAGCATAATTGCATGAAAGGGCCTTTCACGAAGGACAGGTTGGTTTAGAGTAGCGGTTCTCAACCTGTGGGTCGCGACCCCTTTGGGGGTCGAACGACCCTTTCACAGGGGTCACCTAAGACCATCGGAAAACACATATATAATTGCACATTGTTTTTGTGATGAATCACTATGCTTTAATGATGTTCAATTTGTAACAATGAAATTGGGGGTCACCACAACATGAGGAACTGTATGAAAGGGTGGCGGCATTAGGAAGGTTGAGAACCACTGGTTTAGAGTGTCATCATGGCCTTGAAGGGAGCGTGGATTCATTTTATTATTTCCCCTTAAGGGAAACTTGAACTCTTCCTGTGCCGGAGGGGGGCGCTTCCCCCTCATCCCAGGGTGTTCCTAGCCCACAGTCAGGTCTGAAAGATGACCCTGCATTCCGCAGATGTCAGATTATAAATATAAAGCTGCCCTTTTTGTTTTTTTCCTTTCAGGAAAGAACTCCCCATTTCACCTTCCTGAGCAGTGGAACCCGTGGCTCAGAAACAGCGACTGCCCATGAAACGTCAGCTCGCAAATACATTCCACGGCTTATTTGCGGAGGGAAATGTCCTCTACCTCTTGACCTTTCAGATAGCTAGTGAAAGCAAACAGGTAAGCCTTTCCTTGTTCTCCTTTTAACTAAACAGGAAGAAAATGCCCCGCCCTGGCTTGGCTGGTAACCCAAGGCAGGGGTCTCACGGCCATTCCTGAAGGATCACGGCTCAGATGACGGGGACAAGTCCTGGCATGGTCATGGCAAAGGTGACACTTCCTGGTGTCTTCCTAGAAACCGCAGCAGCCAGGGTTGCTGGAAAGGCGTGGCCAGGAGAACCCTAATCCGTTCAGGTTTGTGTGTACCGTAACCTTGCACCTTTTTGCCTGTAAATCAGCACCGTTTGAAAGTTCACCACATCCTTTTTCTGTCCGGGCCTGTGAAACAGCTTCCTTTCATCCAGCAGATAGATGCCTGTGGTTTCAGAGCCCTGGGATGTTCCATTCCAGGAGCCTCATGTGTGTGGTTAGTTAATGACCTGGTTGTCTACTGAGGTTTGTGACCAGGGATTGTTGCGAAGCTCTACCTGACTTCTTTCTTCTGCTGGAGAAGATGAGACCATTCTTACCATATTAGTCACGCTGGGCCTTTTCTTCCTTTTTCTTTCCTTTATTTTTATTTTTTTTAATATTACGCAGGAAACGTTCCTCTCCAAGAGCACATAATTTGGCCAATAGCAGCTTCCTAGGTTCAGAGCCACCTCACCACCTCCCGTGAGTTCTCCAAGATAAAGTTTGTAATAGCACAGTTTGAGCGGTGGGAATGTCACCACGTTGCACAAACTCAAGGCATGCCTTGGCATCCAGTCACTCTGCAAATATTTACGGAGCAGAGTTCATTGGGGTCACTGGGATGAACTGGATGGTTGTGATTCCTCATGCCTAGAATTTACCATGACCCACACAGTCACACAAGTACTGTTTTGTTCTTAAACGGGCATTTGAGTATCGAGTTCTGAACACAGCAGACCAAGTAGTACCACTCTTCTTGAATTAAAGGGTTGACGATGGCAGTAGCCATGGATTTGGACACGCAGTCCAGGTGGCTGCTGTTTGAGGCTGAAATTCACCCCTTTGGCACTAGAACATCTCGATGCAGAAGCCAGGCTCCCAAGTGCTAACGGGTTCACAAACAAGACCAAGTTCAGACCTCCAAAAGGATATTTTGTCATTTGGAACCTGTCTACGGCCTGTCAGATAGGCAATCCAAATCTGAGGCTGTACACATCATTCAAAAGAGCCAGTTGAAAAGCAGAGGGTAGAGGAGAGAGTTGCCGTAGCCTACACAAAGCCATCAGTTTGTCATTGGTGTGCCCTCTGTGATGGTCAGCCTGATGTGTCAACTTAGCTATGCGATAGCAGCCAGTCACTCAACCAAACGCTCAACTACGCGTCGGTGCGAGGGTATTTTGTGACGTGATGAATGTCTGCAGTAGTTGGCTTTATGTAACAGAGATTCCCAGATGTTCTGAGTAGCTCTGCTCCAAGTCATTGAAAGGCCTTGAGGACAGAACTGAGGTTTTCCTCGGGAAGAAGGCAGTCCACCTGTGGTTTGGAGCAGGGGGCACCAACCAGTGGTCCATGGACCACTGGTGGTCCGTGAGGTCTGAAAGGTTGGAGACCGCTGGTCTGGAGAATCACTTCTGCATGAGAGTTTCTGCACTGAACTCCTTGCTGGCCTGCTCCACAGATTAGGACCTGCCTAGGCAGCCCACAATTGCAAATGCCAGTTGCTTAAAAGTGTCTCTCTCTCTCTCTCTCTCTCTCTCTCTCTCTCTCTCTCTCTCTTTCTCTTTCCATATACATGCAGGACATCCCCCCAAAAATGTAGGGGGCCTTGACTTACGAGTTTAATTCGTTCCGTGACGGAGCTCGTAACTCAAATTATTCGTATGTCAAATCTTAAAGTGAACGAGTGAGACATGTGATGCTGGCCTGATGTTGTGGCGTTCACTGTGACGTTCGCTGCGCCAACTAGCGGTGGGGTATCTGAAGCTGGCTCGTAACCCGAATTTTAGCTCGCAACTCAAAGCAAAAAATCGGCCGAGAGACGGCTCGTATCTCGAAAAACTCGTTAGTCGGGACACTCGTAAGTCAAGGCCCCCCTGTACTCACTTTGAATGATTAAAAAGTCAGTATTTATTAATGTACAGTTCATTTTGAAAATTAAGTGAATTATTAGTTGTTAAAGCGTGTATACACTTTTTGGGGACACCCTATGTACTTAACATAATGTTACATATAATTACTTGTATATGATGAATACATTGTTATATATAATTTATGTTATTAATATATTGCTATGTATAAATATATCTCCTACTGCTTCTGTTGCCCTCAGGGAAACTGATACATCTTCTCATCATTAGCCTAGAGGTAGTAAACCACCAGCTTGATGATTTTTTTTTTTTCACTGAATCAAATACCAATGCCCAAAGGTAGTGTGTAAGGTTAGCAATGACCTTCATGGCATGTCTACACCAGAACTATACAAAATTTTCCATCTGGTCTCAACACAAAAGCCAGAGGTGTCCTGCTAAACTATAAGATCACGTCACTTCACCGTTTAATACCCTACTGATTCCTCCCACACTCAGTCAATGCCAGGGTCTCCGTGTCAGCCTGCAGACCTGCGAGATCCAAGCCCTGCTTTTTTGGGCCATGTCACCCTCTTGCTTCTGTGCTCCAGCCACACTAGGCCTTTCTGTTCCTCATAGAAGCCAGTCACACTCTTTATTCGGGGCCAAGGCTTTATTTCCTGTTACTTGATTTTCCTTTCTTTCTAGCACTTACTAGAAGCCCATTGCATAAAGATTCGCACAACAGGCCTTCCTTCCCCTGGCTGCTGGTACCGGTTTTCCTCCGGCAACCAGGACCCAGGCCTTTGGTCCGGCCACAGCGGAGAAGCCAAGCCTCTTCAGTCTTGAGTCTTCAGTCTTCAGTCTTCACTCTGGCTGGAGCCTTCAGTCTTTGCTCTGCGCCTGTGTATACAAATTAACCGCCATCTTTGTTGGGTTAATTTGCATAGTCACTTTGATTGGCTGGTTGGCGTAGCGGAGTGACACCAATTTGCATGTTTCTCTTTTATTAGTGTAGATAACCATTTAACATATTCCATATTCACGGCTATGCTCAAAATCGATCTCCTTTAGAATGTAAAGCTCCACGAAAGCAGGGACTTCTACTTTGTTCTCTGCTGTGTTTCCCCAGTACACCCACAAATTAGGTAAGCTGTTGATATCTGTTGAATGGATAGATGGATGGATGGGTGAGCTTCATTCAGTGGTAAAGTCAGCCAAATATGGGAGTGGGTGTTATTTAGGTAAAACGATTGTGCTGAATTTTAATTGTCTGCCAGGTATTTTTCTCCACATAGATACCGTTTCAAAGGGCATTGACTTGTGATTGAAATGTTTTCAGTTGCTTCCCACCCTGAGCTATAGACACCCTATTGGAGAATCATCTGAATTTTCCAAAACAGCTTGATACTTTCCTATGATCAGAGTTCCCACATGGCATATTCTTTTAAAAAAAATAGATTTTTATTGATATCAGAGAGGAAGGGAGAGAGAGAGAGAGGTAGAAACATCAATGATGGGGGAGAATCATTGATCAGCTGCCTCCTGCACACCCCCTACTGGGGATCAAGCTGCAACCCAGGCATGTGCCCTTGACTGGAATCGAATCCAGGACCCTTTGTGGATGCTCTATCCACTGAGCTAAACCAGCTAGGACCCACATGGCATACCCTTGAAGAAAGGGTACTGTTTCATCTCATGTCCATGTACATAATTTTACACTGAACATTGCCATCCGAAAGGATCTCAGCATTCCACCATTATTTATTAGTTCCTACACTTATTGCCTTTTTTCAAAGCTCAAAAAAAAAACAACAAAAAAAAAACAGGTGAAACTTAAAACAGTTTAATTAAATGTCAGATGGGTGGTTCTGATCAAGCTGGCGCAGCGCCAGGGCATTCCGAGATTCTCAAATAGCATAATCTAATTAATTTTTTTCTAGAACACAGAGGTCATAAACACGCGGTAATCTGAAACACTCGCTGCCCTGCCAGCTGGCATCTTCTGGCTCCAGCTTCCCTGCACTGTAATTTTGCTCCCCGTTGTGAGAAAGCCTGGATTTCTCCATTTTGGTGGATTGTATTAAGTTGCATGCTATTCAGTTGAGGTATTTTTTTAATGAACTGATTACACGTTGGTTAATAATAGAACATTGCCTCAACGGTCAACTGTCGAATATCACTTGTAAAGAAATTACTTCAGTCTTGCAGTAGGAGGGCTTGGGAATAGGACTGACCTGTGAAAACAATATGATTCCCCAGCACTGAGTTTATTGAATTATAAATAAATGCCTCTGGATTGGAAATCAGGGTTATTTAGAGGAACAACATCCATAAGAACAGTGCCTACAAAACACAAATTTAAATTTTTCCTACCAAAATAAGGTTTCCTATTGCTGCTGTCCCTGCTTAATTTTATGCAGTGGGTAATAATGAAAAGGTCATGGTTGGTACTGGGTAGGCTCATTGCTTTGAAAGTGGTAGAACTGGTTCCTTCTACAACAGTGGTTCTCAACCTTCCTAATGCCACAACCTTTTAATACCGTTCCTCATGTTGTGGTGACGCCCAACCATAAAATTATTTTCGTTGCTACTTCATAACTGTAATTTTACTACTGTTATGAATCGTCATGTAAATATCTGATATGCAGGATGTATTTTCATTGTTACAAATTGAACATAATTAAAGCATAGTGACTCATCACAAAAACAATATGTAATTATATACGTGTTTTCCGATGGTCTTAGGCGACCCCTGTGAAAGGGTCATTCGACCCCCCAAAGAGTCGCGACCCACAGGTTGAGAACCGCTGTTCTACAACGTTCAGCTCAAGTTAGCTCCTAATTCTTCCACTTCTCATCTTGGATCTGATGGATCATCATTCCTCACTGTGCACACATCAGTGGCGGTCTTGCAGACAATAGTGAGCTTCCCTTTAAGGCAGCATTTGTCTTTCCAGATGTGCTGGCTCTGGACCTGTT